TCTCTCTCTCCGGTTTCTCCAAGTCTACTGGCACCTACCGGGATAATCCTACAGGAAAATGGCACACGCGACCAGGACACGGACTGGAACTGGGACTGGGATCAGGGCGCATAGCAGTGAAATCCTTTCAATCGCCGAATAGCTGTGGTATACTCAGTGAGTGCTGTACGCAGGACTCAATCGATGCGCTTGGGATCCAAGCAGCGACAGTCGGTCGCCTGTTATCATCACCTACTCATAAGCCACATAGCCGAATAGCCATGCTATAGAAGTTCCGGATGGATGACCAGATTAATGCACGTGGGAAAATAGGTAGGGATGGTCACCTGCTGTCACCTTCCTCCCTTTACGATGTGTCGCTAAACCAACCAGTACACCCTGGTGTGGCGGCGGGCCCACACTGCACGCCAAGCTTTGCCGAATTGCCAGCAGCGCGTTTTTCCTTTTTTGGCTGGCGCTGGCAGGCATTGTGGTCTGGTATCCCTGAAGCCTCCTCCTCCTCCTCCTCCTTCTTCTTCTTCTCTTTTTTTTTTTGTGGACCATTGTGCTCTAGTAGCCCTGAGCCGCCTCCGCCTCCTCCTCCTCCTCCTCTTGTTTTTTACGACCATTTCTCGATATACGCGTGTCATCCTTGTAGCAGGGGCCATCCTAATCTTCTCTGTATCATTCCAATTTTAACGGATGTCCCGAAGGACAACCTCCAAAATAGAACGTCCGGTCATTATGGATGCATCTAGACTGAAAGTTGCCCCAAATACGACGATAATGACCGGGCATTCTATTCGGGTGAAGACGGTAGCAGGAGAAATCCTGCAATGCTGCAGCCTTGTACTGTCAGTTTACGCTTTAGGGTTTACATAACTGAATAGCCTTTGGCCTTTGCCTTCCAGTCAATGCTACAAGATGGGTTTCGTCTTTGGCGTTTGCCTTCCAGTAAATGCTCCAAGATGCGCGCCTACCAACATTAAGGCTCACGTTGTTGACACACATTTTCTGAAGGTTTCTGAGTTTTCCTTTTTCTTCAATTGTTCTTAGCCGAAGCCGGGTAGTGGCCCCGGTAGTTCTTTTTGTATTCTGATAAGGGACGCTGGGCCCGGTTCCCAGTCGTGTTGCTCCCCACGAATAGATTGCAGCATCGTCTCAA